TAACATCGACCAGACGACACAGCGCAACAACCCAGAAGACAGAAATCTTCATACTCATCACCCTGATGACGGAAGCAGTATGACCTCTGAAACGTTGGTTAACATCGACCAGACGACACAGCGCAACAACCCAGAAGACAGAAATCTTCATACTCATCACCCTGATGACGGAAGCAGTATGACCTCTGAAACGTTGGTTAACATCGACCAGACGACACAGCGCAACAACCCAGAAGACAGAAATCTTCATACTCATCACCCTGATGACGGAAGCAGTATGACCTCTGAAACGTTGGTTAACATCGACCAGACGACACAGCGCAACAACCCAGAAGACAGAAATCTTACATATTTTATAGTTATTATTTTATAACTTTGTGTTTAGTAGGATATGGGTTACTATGACAAGCGTTATATATCCATTGCAGAAACAAAGTATAATGACATTGAATGATAAAGTGGTAAAATGATGACCATATATAGAAGGCACGATATCAGATATTGGTTGAGGGTAGTTAAATATTACGTACGTAACGTACAACATGGAGATTGAATTTAGCGCCATTTTCTGACAGTTTCGCTGCTGCGGTTAAATTTCTGAGTTGGCTGAAAAGTCGTTATTAATGTTGTGGCTATGATAAAAATGTATACTCCTATTATGAATCGAACCTTGATTGTCTGATAAGTTTTAAGTCGGCTGAGATAAAATAAAACGGGTTATAGGGAGAGAAAACCACAAATATAATCCGTCTGCAAAGCGCATTCGCTGACAAAGATTCCCATATACAATTTTATGAATACACGATTTAATGTTCAGATGAACTGTTGAGCCATGTCTGAGTTAATGCGACCAGTGAAATGTTCTGTTGACAATCCGAGAGTGGTTGTGCGAAACCCAGGGACAACGACTCACAGATGACCTTGAACAAGACAATGAGTGTTAACAAGTTCGTCAGGACTTCCTGAGTCTCGAGTCCTTACAATTTTACTCATGGCCAGCACTGCAACTATGCTCGAATACATGAAATACCTGTTTGTGTCCAATTCCACGCTGCAGGATATTCTTTGAAAATTAATTTGAAATTCTCATGACCGTGAAATGTCGATGTTCATCTGGTTTGTCCACAACCCAGAAGACAAACATCGATATTTTCCTTGAAATAAAACTGCCTTCTTTTTCTTACCAATTGAGATTTTCAAACCACTACCATGGTTACTCTGTTCTTGTTACACTGGACGCATAAATATTTATGCATAGATTCTTTCATTGTCTGTTTACTTATTACATGAATGTACGCTGGCCGCAAACACCACAACTGAAGACTAGTTTAGATTCCCTGCTGTATAACACCAATTAATAGAATGACTTATAAATAATGTATTGGAGAGGGTATGAAAGGAAGCATAATATCGCTGCATTTACCTGAAGGGACTATGGGAAAACCACGAAAATCCTCAGTTAGTATAGCCGATCTCCGATCCGAGATTCGAGGCTGGGATCTGCCACGTATAGAACAGAAGTACTCAGAAGTAGTAATGAATACAGCGATATGATTGGTGGGGCCTGTAGGAAACTTTGTTAAGACTGACATTGCCTGTAAAGTCTAAATTTAAATTTTGAGTGCAAATATATTTTAGTAGTTTCTTTTGTGTCGCCGCGCCTGTGACTAGTGTTATTTCAGGCTTCGTATTACCACTGCAAAAACCATTAGAACGGCCAATTCAGCCCCTAATTCAATATTCCTGATGTCATGTGTTATAATGGGGATTCAACTGATGAGAAGGTGACAGTTCTTTGGGAACGAGAGTGATCTATGTCAGAGACAGGCCATACTGTGGTATATCGTCAGATTCTGTAAAATTTTACTTCATTCTCTGTAATGAATTTGCATAAATATTTTCAATTATTTGGTTCAAGTGCTGAGGAAGAAACACACATTGAGGTTTTTGAAAACAAAGTGTTGAGGGAGAAACACAGATCGAGGGTTCTGAAGGCAGTGATAAAGGAAGAACACAGACTGAAGTTTCTGATAACCGTGCAGTAAATCTTCTGCAAATGGCATTGTCGACATCGAAATTTCCAGTTCTGTGCATTAATGTTTTTAATTATTTATGTTCTCTGTTAACAATTTATTTATGGCTAAAATAAATGAACCAGTGAGAAGTGGAAACAATTAAGGAAGCATTCCGGTGACCAATAAAATTCAAATTTTTTACTAGTTTTTTTATATGCACCCACACAAGAACGCTACGGCAATGATAAGCTACTGATATTATATTTATATTACAATTACGTATACTTGTAACTTAAAATCGAAGGATCTTACTGATGACTCCGTGTGTATTTGCCGTGGTCTATTTGAAGGTACTATCCCAAGGATTGATAGAAGAAAGAAATGTAGTTCACAAGTTTTCTGTAAAAGATGGAACCTGGGACTTCCCACTGTAAAACAGCGAAGTTAAATTTTGTATTCTCTCGCTTATTTACATTCAAGATACACTGCCTTCTCATACTTTTATTTTCTGATTTTAGTTGTGATGTGACGTGATGTTGTGTTCCTTGTGCCACACTAGCATGGAGACAATGGGACGGCGCGCGTGTGTGAGTTGGAGCTGCTACACCTAACAGGCAAGTGTGTGCTATGTTCTGGCTGCTCCTCTACTAATTAGCGAGTGTGGCTTCAATCAAAAGCACCTTCCTTCTCTCACTACCTCTCTCTCTTCTTCTACTCTCGCTTCGTCTCACTGCCCCGCTTTCCAATTATATATAACTCCTCCCCTTACCTCAAATCCCCCCTCTCCAAATCGTCTAAGCTGCAACTTACTCGCGCGACGTAAGCCTTGTACGTCACTCTAGCACCCAATCACTGTTAACCGGCATTGCCAACATTCCTCATAACTTACTAGGATTTAGAAAGACCAATATGCTTTGGATCATATGTTCAGACGTCTTTCAGGAAAACCAATGACGTTACATGAATTTAAAATTATTTGCAGTGGTCATTGATTCTTAGGCTATTTAATGACATGTTATCACTTACTGAGATTCGATAGTTTTGACTCATGTAAAGTCTTTAAGAGCAGCAAAACAGGATTGTCGCGAGCCTAACTAGGCCAAGGTTAACAAACTCCATGGAACAGAGTCCTTGTTTAGCAGCTAACAGTCGTACAGCTGGTGAAGAAATTCTTTGTCTTTTATGAAACACGAAGGTTCACTACCATGTTTACGAAAGTCCTAAACCACATAAATCCAGCCCACACTCTGTAAACAAATACAAATATTCCCCTTATCAAGCATGTAATTAAACACCCAGGTGGTCTGTTAAGACTGATTTTCCAGTTAAGACCTCAAGTAAAGACGTGTTCTCTAAATCTGACAGGCTTTATATATTGACGAAGTTAATGAGGGTTTTATTTTTCATTAAATCTGGATTAAGACGGAGGAAATAGTTGTGTTCAGTTTTACCAAGTTCGATATTAGAACGTTATTTACAAAGAGACTGAACACAGCCCTTAGTTTTAAGCTCTTAGGTTTATGGAATGCAATTGCTTAGTAGTTTTTGTGTGTTATAAGAAAATGTGATTTATTAAAAGAATAGCCTATTTATTAATTATAAAACAGTCAGTATTTTTAAATGTCTGTCACGACGTTTCATCATGTAGATATTTGAATACTTTTAAAAGTAGATAAAAGGATAATATTAAAATTTATTTTAAATAAATGTAATGTGAAGGGAGGCGTTGTATAGAACTGGACCAGTGTGGGGTCCTGTAACATATTTTATAAGCACGATTGTTAAAATTAAGCAACTTTCTTCACGGGTAGAGTGGCTGTCCATTTTTAAGAAATGTTGTGTCCCACGTAGTCCACTTGATTTGGAAAGTGCACAATACAGTATAGCGCCGAAATTTTAGTTTCGTTTATCCTGATTCAATAAATGTCTACAGTAAATGTTTGCCTCGTCATATTGTGCTTATGCTTAAGTTACATTGTTTTTACGAAAATAATTGTCAGAAAATTTATACAAGATGGCTGTCTTCTGAGTTGTTGCGCCGTGTAGACTGGCAGAAATTTACCAGTGTTTCAGAGGTGCCTGTTGTCTCCAACATCACTGCACTACAACCCAGAAGACAACCATCTTCATACTCAACGCCGTGAGAATCCAAAATAAATAATTAAATTATACCAAATTGTTTCTTTAAATATATATCATACAGGCCTTTGTTAATACCGGTTGGGGAATGGACTAATCTATCCAAGTTCAATATATTTGTCCAAAGAAAAAAAATATTAAAAAGATTTTAGGTTAAATTTATAAAGTGACCGTGTGGTCCCGAAATACTGTCATCTTATATTGTTATTACATTTTTACAATATTAACTCTTAATTTTGGTCGTTCAGTTTAATTTTCAAATTACTTGCCACCAGAAGATGGTCGATAAACGACCGAAACATGTAATGGATTTTCAAGTACGCCTTTAAATATATAATTAGTAATTCGTTGTGTAGTCGATTAGAATTATTTTATCATAGAATACACAATATACTGCATCATTTTAAAATTGCAATCAAAGCGTAGGAAATATATACTTTTGTATTTAAAAACATGTTTCAGATATAGGTCGCTTTTAATTATAATTTACTTTATCATTGATTCAAATAAATAGACATATATTTAAACTTTTGTGAAACTGTGTCACGTTTTCGAAGGATATCTTAGGTATCGTCAAAATAATTTTGTCAGTAATTTTCTTGGTGATATGAACATTATTATTATTTGCATTTTTTCGGGCTAATCTCTTCATTTGAACAATAAATTTGTTTATTTTATTATCCTACGTTAAGCGATTAGAGTTCTGTTGTGTTCAGGAACTTCAGCGCTGCAGTGTTGGTAGTAGCAGGGGCCGCGTAATTTAAGTACACGAATACCGGAAATGTCGACTGCGTCGAAGCGAATGGTGCATGCGCGAGTGAACTGTGGTTTCGCGCCCGTGTCATTCCCGCCTTCGCGCCAGTTCTGATCAGTGGTTGTTTTAATTTCTCCGTTACGTCAGGCGAAAGGTTCGTCAGTGCTCAAGCCTGGAACTTTATCGTCGAACTTTGTAATCATCTCCAGACTCTGTAGGAAAGAACACGCTTGCAGTAGCCAATTCTAATTTCGCACGGTTTTGAGGGGTGATGTAAAGTGGCAGTAAGAGGGGGAGGTAAGCTGGAGTGAGAATCTCTCTCGTTCGGCCGGGAGCGTTTAGTGAGCATCTGAGTGCGAAAGGGTTTGGATGTGTGCGACTCTATCGCACGATCTTCATCTGTCAACTAGGTCTTCGTTCGGGCGAACTATTAGTTAACTTTATCCTAAAACTGAAGTGAATGTTTGATGTGACAATTGTGTTTAGTTATTGTTACACGTATTGCTATGAACGAACATTTATAATTGATACAGTAACGGTTTTCTGAAGAGTTCGTGAATTTCGTGACTACTTCATACAAATTAAAAGAAAATATGATTCTCTTGCCTGCTGTAACGAATCTAACATATTTAGCTACAGATTTAAGGCTCAGTATTACGATGTTGGTGTGACAATGCTGAATAATGTCAAATGTTTCTTGTGAAATCTAACTTTTTGGAAAAAGGCGGTAAAATTTTGATGCTTCAGTTTAAATTCAGTTTCGTTTGAAGCAGATTTCGTTTAGAAGGACATATATTTTCTCATATTTACGTTGAACAAGTCACAGTGAAAGCGAACACCTTCAAGTTTCTGGAAGTTGTAAATAAGTTTGGATGAATAACAAACATTAATGTGGTTTTGAAGTGCAAGTGATAAGTGATTATTTGTAAGAAGATTGGAGGACACTGCTGTAAGTAGCTGAAATCATTAATACTTTATTTCTAGGCATATTCTTGTTGAATATAAAATAAAAGTCATTGCCTTTTTAATCTCGTAAGATTTGAAGCTTTCACGGCGGATAAATGCATCAAACTCCTATCTGCCGACTTTGACACTGCTGATTGCGTTAGAGATTATTTTAACGACTTCGTATTTCATCTGTGCAATGCCATTCTTGGTAAAATAACCAAAATTAATATTACATTTTCATAGAATTTCTCTGTGTGGATTCAGCAATAAATCCGCAAGAAATTACTAATAGTTTTAAACGGTTTAAATTAACATTTCAAATCTGATACATTTTTAAACACTGAACTCATATCGTAGCGAATTTTAGTGATTGTGTAAAGATTTTTGGACACTTGTGAACATAAAAGGCGAGGAATTTCTTGACTAGGTAACAGTACTATTAGGTTCTACGAAAATACTTTGCTCCATGGAGTTAATTGGGTATGGACAATTTAGAACGCTGAAGTACATGCCATTTTTAAAAATTTAATTTCGTGATTGTAATTTTTTTATTACGTGGTGTTTTCGGTGTCGAACCTGCGGGTTTTTTCTACCAGGGCTTTAGTCAGATAGTAGTTGTTCGTTAAATGTGTCATAGAACACCCGAAATTCTGTTTCATTCGGGTGTCTTGTTTTAGGTTAAATTTGGATTTGAGAATTAGAGTAATTATATTACGTTATCACGCATATTAACATTATTAAAGATTTTTAATGCATTAATACGTAAATAGAACTCAATCGATTCTGTAATTTATAGACAAAACACGTATATAATAAGTTTTTCCCCAGTTACGGGTCTATTGTGTTTCAAATAAAATCTCAGTATTACGATTTAATATAGCCTTTTAAAACAACTGAACTTGGTTACGAACGAACTTTTATAAATACTTTTTATGTCGTGTTGTGTCTTCATTATTTAACATAAGTAACTAATCGTTATATTTATTTAATTTCTAATAGGCATATCTTTGTATTTTATCTGTTTCTTTTTTGTGTGTGGAGGAGGGGCTATTAAGGACTAGACCCTTAGCTCTGTACCCCTGGGCGGGATTTCTGCCAACCATAAGTTCTTTACCTACGCGGGACAACATGAATCTCAAACACGTCGACAAACACCCATGTCTCGAGTGAGAATCGAACCCACTATCCCATTGTATGAGCGGCCCAAGATAATTTTACCAGATCGGGCGTCCACCGTCTGTGTACTACTTAAATATATTTTATGCAAAATACAATAGTCTTGGTAGTCTATAAGCTGTATAATACATCTTTTACACTGTCCACGCCGTCAGAATAGACGCACAGGTTTTATTTCAACGTAATTTTATTAATAGCGACATGTTTCGATAGTATTTGTCACCTTTTAGCTGTATTTTGTATGTTAGGTGTCAACGTAAAATTAAAGTATTTTTTCCTCAATTTCGCTTTAAACTTTCAAAGTAGGACCCACATTTATATACAAATGTTGTTTGTCCTGGGTTAAATTTGATTTTTTTACGAAGGATCATGATGATGTGGGTTTTGACACCGTGTAAACTCGTAGGTAGATGATACTGTTTCGAAGAGACATACTGTCTCCATCTTCAAAGATGAAGACGAGTCTACACGGCCCCAAAATCAAGAAAATTAACAACATAGCTTGTCGCGTTAGTTGAAACTCTCTAGAGTAACATTAACGTTATGAAATAGTTACAAGTAAAATATATTCTTACAATTTTAGTTCCCTATATTGGATTTAATTTTTTGTAAAATTTTCGCCAACTGTGATTTCATTTAGAGTCTCTGGAAAGTCTGTAAAATATTTCTATTCTGTCATTTTTGATTAAAATCGACAGTTACATTTCTTAATAAACTATGTGACGTCAAAGCATGAATTAATATTTGGAGAATTATCAACATTTCGAGCAGTCTTTTACGGTGCGTAATTGACGTAATGTAAAGTTATAGAACAAATATAATTCTTGACGCTGCTTAGCTGCTTGTTAATAGCGTATGTACCTCATTTGGAGCTGTAATTAACAGAACACAAATGTTTGTTCAGCATAAAATGTTTTATTACTCAGAATGTTAATCCAAAATCGACTTGTTTACTTCATTTGGATTTCTTATCAGTTTGTTTTAACGGCGTTTCAAAATAACGTTTTAGGTTTTATTTGTTCAGTTGTAAGCTTCTATTTAAAAGTAATTGAATTGTCTGTAAAACATTTCATGAACACTTCAAAGTTTCTATGCCTTCATTTGTTAGAGGAATTTAACTCAGTTTAGTTTAGTGAACAGCTGTTTTATTCTATTGGTAAATCTCTTTTGCTACTTGCTTGAAGTTTTGACAGAATTTCATAATCTAATCTCATAAAATATGAGGAGAGTACGTTTAATAAAAGCAAAGCGACGTAATATAAGGCTTGAACTGTCACCTCTACAAATTAGTAAAGATGACAGAGAAAAATCAACGGAAATTGGAAGTTAAAACTGTCAGGCATATACTTCAAAGTGAAATATTTTATTACTCCATAAACTGAGTTCAAACTTCGGCAAGTTTATTCCATGGGAATCTTGGATATTCTGGAATTCAGTTATACAAAATTTGTAGCAAGACTTATAATATATTACGAAGTTAACATAATTTTGGCGCTTCGTGTAATTTGTGAATAAATTATCTCTTTGATATTCGGACTTCTTAAAGATGACTTAACATTTGCGTCTGTTCGTAATGTCTATGGAGAAAGATTATAAGAAAGTCGAATGTCGAAATGATATAATTACCATGTAATTGTAACAAACCCGTTGAAATTCACGGGGAATGAATGAATGATTTGTATCCTCGTGCCTTGTGATATTTATTCCTTCCCTCAAAAAAATATATCTGATCTTATTTATATAATCAACGTATTATTTGTGTTAAATTAAATAATTGCTATTTATTGTGAGAATCGAACGGAGATAATAAATATATTCTTTGCGTAAAATGTAGTTATTGGATGTTAAAAATCGATATGTGTGGTATATATAGTTCCCACTGCGCTTTGAAATCCAATGGAAACTACATGTACCACGTGCTTTAATAAACCTACATTTTGTATTCAGGAACTTCGTATAATTCTTACCGTAAACAGCGATTATTTCTTTAATTAACATTAACCAGTTATTCTTTGTAATTGTGAAAAGTTGTGTTTTCTTTGCGGTACGGATAAAGTTCTTAGATGTTGTTTAGATAAGCTTCGGTAAAGGATTCAGCATTATTTTTACTTTGTTTAAACTATCGTCATTTTTCATCTCGTTCCAATAAAATATGAGAATCATTCTTTGTTCTCTCCCCCCCGGGCCACCCTTCTGTCGATTAAAATAACTCTTGTGGTAAGGCGTGCAGCTACTACGAGGGAACTAACTCGTTAGTTGTGCTGTGTCGTAGTGATGGACCATCGTTATGGGTGAGAAACACAAAGCAATTATTAATGACAGAACTGTGTGTGTCTTGCAATGGTGTACAGAAATGCACAGGTTGGTGTAGGTATAGGAATCCTCTGGCACACACATAAATGGCTAATCGTCTTACATTTTTTGTAATAATGAATAATAAAGTATTTATGAGCACCGTTATAAAATTAAATGAGTCTTGATTGGCGTCAGAATTAAACAAATGATGTTTTTATTTGTGTTTCTATGGCAGAGAAATGATAAATCATATATTAATAAATCTAAAAAATATATATTTATTCTTAAGCAGAAGAACGAAAAGAAATATCCCAGGCTATTGTGATTTGGGTTAATCTCCAGTTGGTACATTGTTTTAACGATGCATGTGTTCTTTAGCGTCGAATGACAAGAGTGTAATTATATACGACAAACTAAAATAATTTTAAGAAACTGATTGGTACTTCGTCTGTGCAGCAGCAGCCTTTATCTTTGATACAGCGCTATTAATAACAGCCAAAAACCGACAATAGTCAACTTAAAACCGACGTTTTGAGCTATTTCAGTCGTGTGTGAGTTGCAGTCTCTGTAGATGATACAGATTGGTTAATTAACCTACCCACGAACCAGTCACCTCTATGAGCTACAGCCTCTGTAGTTGATGCATCATCATTGCATAACCTATTCACGAACCATTCTGACGAGAACTTGTGTAGAGCTGTGTGACCAACATCTTCTGTCATTGATACATCCTCATTAAATGACTTACTAACGAACCAGTCAAGTTTCTAAGCTGCAATCACTGTAGTTGATACTAACTAACTAGAATTAACCAAAACCCTCCACCGCACCCTGTCCTGGGAGAACAAAATAAGTCTCCTTCAAAACCTCTGCAGTTGATACAGCCTCATTAAATTACTTACTAACGAACCACTCAAGTTTTTTAATCTACAATCACTGTAGTTGATACAGCCTCGTTAAATAACCTACCCACAAAGTGACCTACCGAAAGTGTGTAGAGTCATGTGGGCTGCAATTACTATAGTTGATACAGCCTCGTTAAATAACCTACCCATAATGTGACCTACCGAAAATTTGTGGAGTCATATGTGGGCTGCAGCCTCTGGAGTTGATACAGCCTCATTAAATTACTTACTGATGAAACAGTCAAGTTTTTTAATCTACAATCACTGCAGTTGATACAGCCTCGTTAAATAACCTATCCACAAAATCACCTACCGAAAGTTTGTGGAGTCATGTGGGCTGCATCCTCTGCAGTTGATACAGCCTCATTAAACTTCCTTAGCAGCCTTCGTAAGCTTGTACAGCCCTGTGGCTCGAGCTGAGTTGGACTTCCGGCTGGACCAGGTCTGACTGTGCCGTCTTTAACGACCCGATGGCTGTTACTTGTTACACTAATGAGGGAGGCTGGCGGCTCCACCAGAGGGGGGAGCTCATTAACAGAAAAGTGCCGGCTCTGGGCTCCTCCACCCACGGAAACACCCGTGTGTGTTGCCAACCCTACAGACACGTCAATTCAAGACGGCGCAG